AGGGCTTTCTAAGGAGCTATGTTTGTATGATTAGAATCAACTGACCACAGAAGAGTTCTCAGTGTTGGTGATGTCATTTTTTAGAAAACATTTATTATTTATTTGTCTATACATACAGAAATGGGTTACAGGCCAGAGGTGCAGGAGTGGTGAGAGGATTCACCTGAGGCAGAGTGGGGAGCAGAACAGGCAGATCAACGAAGCTCAGTGCTGTGGGGAACAGCGAGCGGGCCAGGAGAGGTCTGCTGCGCCATGTGGATCACATCCTGGGGAGCGATTGAACTCTTGTTGAAGTGCTTTTAGCTTCTTTGTGCTGTGCTGAAACCCCCTGTGCCACCTGGGAGGGCCCAACATCATTGTTTTTAAATGGAATCGTCCCAAACAACAACAACCAAACCCAAGAAATATGAGTCAAATAGCCCCAGATCAACAGGTGAATAATTATCCACTAACTAGTAATTGTGTTGTATTTTTTAACTAACCTCTTCTACAGTTTGTCAGGGAAGAATGAGGGGTAGAAGGAATGATGAGATTACTTTCAAATACTGCAATCACTTTTCTCCATCAGTATCTGCCTGTCCCAAGCCTTGGTCTTCTGTCTGTGATGCTATCCCCCAAATGTCTGCATGGTGTACCTCCCAACTTCCCTCAGGTCTATATTCAAATGTCACCACTTGGGCATTCTTGGGCCAGCCCTCTCTTCTCCCAGAGACCCAAGCTCCAGCACACCCAGCCATCAGCAAGCAAAGCAGTTGTTTTTTGGGGCGCTGCCCCCTAGTGTTGGATCAATATATTCACTGGGCCTGACCTGCTGCCCCAGGGTTCCCTGGCTGGACAGTGGCCAAAGCCTGGTCCCTGCAGGAGCTGCTGTTGCTGAACCAGGAAGTAACCTTCCCACTGTAAAGAGGATTCTGGAGAACTGGTTGGTTTTTATCCCCTCCTCCACCCACTTCACAGATATGAAAGTACTGACTTCCAAATGACAAATGTAACACACAGGCTGGTTGGAATGGAGAGTAATCGGTTACCCTGGGGAAAAAAAAAAACCTTTAGTTTGAATATGAGGTAGGAATCTTTTCTTTGGGAAGGGAAATTGGTGAGGACATGCAGAAAGGCAGCCCTTGCCCTGTTGCTAGGAAGGTATGGTGCAGACACTATGGAAAGCAGTGGGGATTCCTCAGAAAATTGAAGATAAAACTACTATATGATCCAGCAATTATACTCTGAGTATATAGCAGAAGCCAACAAATATCTATATCAAAAATGCATCTCATCCTGTGTCATTACAGCATTATTTACAATAATTTTCGCACACACACACACATTCAGAAGGACAACATTTAGTTTTACAATGAGGAAATCCTGACATTTGTGAAAACATGGATGGACCTTAAAGGCATTTTGTTAAACAAATTAAGTGAGACAGAGAAAGCAATGTTGTGTGATCTCACTTACATGTCAAAGTTTGGAAAAGCTACAAACTTCATTGGTACGCAGAACAAATTCGTGGTTGCTTTGGAGGGGCTTGAAGTCATGGCAGAAATGGGTGAAAGTGGCCAAACATACAAACTTCCACTTATAGTCCCTGGACGTAAAAGTACAGCCTGGTCACTGAATATA